AGAGAGAAACTGGGACCTTGGCTAAGGCCTGGAAAGAAGAATGGGTGTCTTCACGGCAGAGTGGTGTCTTGAACGCATGGCAGTGGAGGTGGTTAATTGCCCATATTAAGCAAGCAGAAGGCACAGAATGTGAAAAGTAACTGGAACTACATAATGATAATGGCGAATAAGTATCAGCTCAGGAGGGGTCTGGACCTGAGCTAAGCAATGCTCATATTACATTCTAGAAAATGGTGTTCTATGAAGATTATTTCACCAGATTTCCACCCATCTGAAGAGGAGGAAAGTTCTGGAGAGATGAATGAGAATGCTGTGAAGGGCTAAGACAGAAGCTGTCATGATGGATGTGGCGACTGACTTAGTGCAGTGAACACACGTCATATGGTGTTTCCTGAGCTCCCCATGAAAGTCCCTGTGCATGAAGCTCTCCCTACCTCTCCAAGGCAGTGGGAGGGCTGTCCCTGACTGGGGATCCACAGGCTTTGCTAGCTGGATGGCTGAGGTCATATAGTTTCCTTCACCTCCGCAGCCAGATACTTAGTTCCCTGTCTTGCTGTCTGCCCTTTGTACAGAGAAAACGGAAAAAGTGTTGGAAGTGACCTGAGCTCTGCTGTCCCCGAAGAGGGACCCAGAGATCAAGTTACCATTTGCTTAGAGTTCTGTGTGCAAGGCCACCCAGATTTGGAAGCCTTGGGTTTAGAAGGTTACAAAAGAACTGACAGATTCTTAATTGACAGAAGCAAGCCAGGCAGCGGTAACACACACTTTTAATCCCAGCAGTTGGGAGACAGAGGCAGGCAGATCTCTGAGTTTAAAGAGGTTGAGGCCAGCTTGGTCTATAGAACAAGTTCCAGGACTCCACAGAGAAACTCTGTCTCAAAAAAAAACAAAAACAAAAACAAAAACAAAAACAAAAAAAAAACAGAAAAGAAAAAAAAAAAGGAAGAAAAAAGTCTTGAGTGAAGCAGAATTAGCATTGTTTCTCCTGGTGAATAGTGAACTCTCCTCAGAAGGCATCTCTAGCTGGTAAGTGCTACTCCGTACACTTCCATTTCAGTGTATTCTACACGACTGTAATCCGTGAAAACAGGCATTTCACAGTTAAGAGAGAGAGCACAACAGGCCCTTGCTCTATCAGAGAGAGAGGGAGGGAAGGAGAAAGGGAGGAAGAGAGAGGGAGGGAGGAAGAGA